TTTAAATTATTATAAACAATTTAATATAGCTCTCTCTCTCTCTCTCTCTCTCTCTCTCTCTCAGAAAATGTAAAAAATAATAAATTGTGTGAAACGGTAAACACTTCATTAATTATAAAGGGTATACAAATGAGTAAATTTGAAAAATGCAAAACACAATGACTTATCAGATATAAGCTAATTACCTCAAAATATTTGTAATACAAACCCTATTAATAATTCATTTCATAAAATAATCATAAAGATCACATTTAAAACTCTATGATGAAGTATAAGCATAAGGATAACTATTGATTAAAAGATTGGTTAACAAAATACAAATAATATTTTAGTAATAAATTACAGACTATAGACATAAGAATCCCAGTTTTCACCCTGTTAATAATTCAATATAACTAATAAATATTCAACAAAGGCGTATGCAATGAAATATTCATATAACTCAGCTATTAATTAATTATTGACTAGCTAACAAAATAACTAACTAATACCATATTAACAAATAAATAATTGAAGGGATACACCAGTTCCCACTTCATGACTGTCCCCATACTATACATACTGAACAACAATAGTGAAGACTCACCACATTCTCGTCGTTGGCCTGAAATATATGAATACCAAAGGGAGAGTCCGGGCCCTCACGGAACAGGTATGAGAACCAAGTCTTGTCGGGTTGTGTTTGCGTGAACTTCGAGATACAGTGGAGCGGGTGGTTGAGCAGCACCTGCCTGTCCATCACGTTCACCACCCGCACCGACTCCGCCGTCACCTCCAGGTCCACCGATATGGCCGTACAGCTGCCGGTGCGCCCGCTGTCCGACAGGGACTGGCGTTTCACGTCGGCTATAATCCACGGCAGCATCGGCAGGGTGTAGGTGCGATCCAGGGTAGCTGAGCCCACGTACCGGAGCCGGTAGTGTACGCCAGCGCTCACCTTCCGTTGCCGGTGGGTAGGCGTCGACGGCGAGCCTACCTGTGCTCTCATCGCAGCCAACTCTTGCGATAGTTTATTGCCGGATATACTATTGAGCGATTGGGTGCTCGAGGGCTGGGAGGCCTGGGAGGTCGACACGTTCACCATGTCGTTGGGGTTGGCGTTCGAGTTGGCCCGTCGTACACGTCCGGTGGCACCGGTAGCCGAGTAGTTGCTGGAGTAGAGCTCGAACAGCGCCGGACCCATCATTTTCTACGGTAATAGTAGGTCAGCCCTGATATGCAGGTGCTCTGTGCGATACTGTAATGTTAGGATACCGTTCCCGTTAGGCACTGGTATACTATTGACAGCAATGCAAGTCAATCGCAAACACGTATTGCAACTCAAAACTGAAGTGTATTTTTAGTCAACAGAATATTCCCATTGACTTAGCATTAGGAGTGCACTGGTAGGTCGCGAGAGTGGAGGTGCGCTCTGTTATGGCACCCAACAGTGATTATGAGGCACAGGGAGGTCGTGGCGAGTGTTTTGGTGTATGTGTTTGGCCTTCGCTCAGCTGTTTGCGTGCGGACTACCAGTGCGCTCTTCCCAACACCATTACTCCACTCCCAAACTCCCTGTGCTTTTCCATTACATATGACTGAATACTGTTCGTTAGATTCCGAGCTAACGGTGCGCTCGAGTCGACTGTGACGTACGGTTCTCTATGCCTGTCATACGAGCTAATGGTGCAGATTCTGGTGCTGAGCAATGATAACTGTGCTCTCGTAGTACTGACTGTACGGTAGAGTACATGCGTTAC